GAAAGTCCCTTAGTTTGGCTTTGTCAAGTGCTTTTCTCGTGATCAGCCTGGGATTATGGTTTTTTAGAAAAAATACCACACAGGTGCCTTTCCCTTAGCATCATAATCAGGGTGACATTCTATCGACATTTCTTGTCACCTCACGTTTGCGTGGATCGCCTGGCCAAGGTAATGTTTGCATGTTTGCAGTTTTCTCTACTGTCAAGTTACTTTTCCCTCTCTTTTTTATTTTATTTATTTTTTAAGACAGGGTCTCATTCTGTCCTCCAGGCTGGAGTGCAGAGGTACTCACTGCAGCCTTGACCTCTGGAGCTCAATTGATCCTCCCACCTCAGCCTCCCAAGTAGCTGGGACTACAGTCACACACCACCACACCTGGCTAATTTTGTTCATTATTATCATTATTTTTAGTAGAGAGGAGGTCTCACTATGTCGCCCAGGCTGGTACTGAACTGGGCTCAAGTGATTCACCAGCCTTGGCCTCCCAAAGTGTTGGGATTATAGGCATGAGCCACCGTGCCCGGCCATCCTCCTTTCTGTATTCTTTGGAAGCAAATAAGTAAATGCAGCTTACACTTTGGAAAGCGGGGTGGGGAAGTAGCTACATGAAAGTGTTTGGAATTCTTCTTTAAGGAAGACTTGTTTCTTCTCAGACGTATTTTTTTTCCCTGGGAGCAAGCAAGCTGAATGATCACATTTATTTATTTATTCAGTCATTTATATCAGTTTGGACTCATGGATATTTATTTTATAATCTGAGCTTAATCCCATATAACATTATTTACTTTGTTGCTTGAATTGCTGCAGGTTTGGCCACTGGGAGCTCCTTCTGGAAGGTTCCTATGTCCCTGTGACATACCACCATCCTCGTTTTTGGGCATTTCCTTCCTTTCTGCCACCATAAGTTGCTCCAGGATCATCTTGTACTGGTCCTGCCCCATCCCTAGAAGCAGTCATCTCTCCAAGGAGCCTGGTTCCTTTCACTGGAGAACAGTATTAGAAACCAAGAGCGGCCAGGCCAGGCGCAGTGGCTCACGCCTGTAATCCTAGCACTTTGGGAGGCCGAGATGGGCAGATCACCTGAGGTCAGGAGTTTGAGACCAGCCTGGCCAACATGGTGAAACCCTGTCTCCACTAAAAATACAAAAGTTAGCCGGGCGTGGTGGCTCATACCTGTAATCCCAGCTACTGGGGAGGCTGAGGCAGGAGAATTGCTTGAGCCCAGGAGGCAGAGGTTGCAGTGAGCCGAGATCATGCCAAAGCACTCTATCCTGACTGACAGAGCGAGAGACTCTGTCTCCAAAACAAAACAAAACAAAACAAAAATTAGCGGGGTGGGGTGGCAGGCGCTTGTAGTCCCAGCTACTCGGGAAGCTGCGACAGGAGAATTGCTTCAACCTGGAGGCCAAGGTTTCAGTGAGCTGAGATCACGCCACTGCCCTCCAGCCTGGGCAACAGGGTGAGTCTCCATCTCAAAAAAAATAAGAAAAGAGAAACCAGGAGCAGCCGGGCGTGGTGACTCACACCTGTAATCCCAGCACTTTGGGAGGCCCAGGCAGACTGATTGCTTGAGCCCAGGAGTTTGAGATGAGCAAAACCGTTTCTACAAAGAAATGCAAAAATTTAGCCGGATGTGGTGGTGTGTGCCTGTGGTCCCAGCTACTCAGGGAGGATAAGGTGGGAGGATTGCTTGAGCCCTGGAAGTCAAGGCTGCAGTGAGCCGTGTTTGTGCCTCTGCATTCCAGCCTGGAAGACAGAATGAGACCCTGTTTCAAAAATAAATAAATAAAAAATAAAAAGGAAAAAAAACAAGAGCTAGATGCTGGATGTTATTCATGCCACTGGGTGTCACTTCTTCCAGGCCCTCAGCTGACATAGCTAGAAAATATATGTGTGTCTCTTTACCCACGTATACACACATATGCCTCCATTATGTTTTGTATTTGTAGCCATTTACATATAAAAATGGAAGTTTTATATGTACAAACTTTATCTCCCCAAACTTAACAGGTTGTCTTGTTTTTTCTCTTTGTATCATCTCATTGCATCCCACAGCTCAGTGAAGTCCAGAAAATTAATATTCCCTTCACAGAGAAAGAAGCTGAGAAGAAGAGGTGGTTTTTGTTTTTTTGTGTTTTTTTTGAGGTAGGGTCTTGCTCTGTCGCCCAGGCTGGTGTACAGTGGTGTGATCATGGCTCACTGTAGCCTCGACCTCCAGGGCTCAAGTGATCTCCCACCTCAGCTTCCGAGTAGCTGGGACCACGTGTGTGCACCACCACACCCAGCTAATTTATTCATATATATATATAATTTATTTATATTTATATTTATTTATTTTGAGACGGAGTCTCGCCCTGTCACCCAAGCTGGAGTGCAGTGGCGCGATCTTGGCTCACTGCAACCTCCGCCTCCCGGGTTCAAGCAATTCTCCTGCCTCAGCCTCCAGAGTAGCTGGGACTACAGGCCCCTGCCACCACGCCTGGCTAATTTTTGTATTTTTAATAGAGATGGGGTTTTGCCATGTTGGCCAGGCTTGTCTCAAATGCCTGACCTCTTGATCCCCATGCCTCGGCCTCCCAAAATGCTGGGATTACAGGCACGAGCCACTGCACCCGGCCAATTTTAAAAATTTTTTATAGAGATGGAGTCTCACTACGTTGCCCAGGCTGGTCTGGAACTCCTGGGCTCAAGCGATCCTCCCGCCTTGGCCTCCCCAAGGTGCTGGAATTACAGGTGTCAGCCACTGCACCCCAGCCCGAGGTGCAGAGAACGTAAGTAACTTGCACAGATGACACAGTTCTGGAAGGAGGTTTCAAATCCAAGAGAAGAAACTTTCAGAGGCTTGGAAGCCCAGCCCTGCCCAGCCTCCTTGTATCCTGATGGCTGGAAGACCAGCCCAGCCCTCAAGAGGCTGCCTGGCTGTGATCAGTGAGATTCATCATGAGGATGTCCCCCCACTATACCCCAAGCATGTGAGCTGTGGAGGATCTCCCCATTCATGGCTCCAGGAGGTGAGTTACTGGTGGTGTGGAGCCATGATTCATGGCCAGGACAGACCATAATTAGTGGTCACTGGTGTGGCCCTGCAAAGGAGTCCAGAACAAACACCCGCTGGGAGCTGGATGAAGTCTGGGGTGCCTGACTCCAGGGATGGGCCGGAATCAGGCCCAGCTGGGAAGAAGCACATGGGTGAAGGCCAGGTGGCTGGTGTTAGGAGCCTGTGGGCAATGAACTGGAGAAAGTAGAATTCCCCACCTGGTGCCTGCCCCTGCCCAACCCTCCCCACCATCTGTGGCTTGATCCTTTGGGGCTCAGTATAAGCCCCTCAACTGCCGCTGGGCTGGTGCTTCCCCTAGGCCTCCTCATCTCCCCAGGCCTGAACCGGCCCAGAGCGCCTGTCTTCACCTGGCCCTGCCTAGCTGCGTGTCTGTCTCTTTTTCCCTGCCACAGAGGGTAGGCAGGACCACCTTGGCCACTGTGTGCCTAGTGCCAGTCTCCTCTGCTGAAGGAGCAGATGCGTGCATGGTTGGCAGGTAGTACCTGGAGCCCTGGATAGGGGCATTCAAGGAGTGCCCGGGAGGCCCCTGGAGAATAGGGATTGGAGGGGGGCAGCAGGCAGAAGCCCCGCAGCCTTTCCTTGGGGAAGGAGTGAGGGGACTGATGAGAGAACCCTGAAATCCACATCCCAGGCAGACAGGCAGCTTGAGTCCCCCAGCCTGCTGGTCTTTGGGAAGCCTGGCACAGGGCTGCACACTCCCACTAGGGTTCAGCTCAGCCCCTGTGGATGGGGGGCTCCACGAGGCCTAGAGACCTCCCCCAAGCCCTTCCCCACAAGGGGCTGAGTGGTCACTGGGGGTTGAGCTCCAGTTGAGCACTTCCTGAGAATGCTCTGGGTCCAGATGAAGCCAGGCTTCTCAGAAAGCCGGACTCTGGAACCCAAGAGCCTGGGTTTCGGCCCCTGCGCTGCCATTTTCCTGCTGGGCAACTGTGGCCCAATCATGGCATCCCTGGGAGCCTCAGTGAGTGCGAAGCTGTGGGTCAGGCTTGGCACATCGCAGGCGCTTGATAAAGGGGCACTGCTGCTAGGAATACTTCTGTGAGAGTCTCCTAGGGAACATGGTATGCTGTGGGGTTTACAGGGCTTCATGGGAGCCTTAGGACGTTCCCAGTCCACAGTGCCCCTTCCCCTCACCATCCAAAAACACATACTGGGAGCCAGAGATGCCTCACACACAGCTCTGTTTGCAGTGTCAGAAGGAGAAGCAAGGAAGGTTTTCCAGAGAAAGAATACCCAGGGGTGGGCGGGAGTGCGCCTAGCATTGAGAAGAGCTTACAAAAGACTGTCCTGGCCAGGCACGGTAGCTCAAGCCTGAGACCCCAGCACTTTGGGAGGCTGAGGCGGTTGGATCACCTGAGGTCAGCAGTTCGAGACCAGCCTGACCAATATGGTGAAACGCTGTCTCTACTAAAAAATACAAAAATTAGCCGGGGGTGGTGGTGTGTGTGCCTGTAGTCCCAGCTACTCTAGAGGCTGAGACAGGAGAATTGCTTGAACCCAGGAGGTAGAGGTTGCAGTGAGCCAAGATCGCACCCCTGCACTCCAGCCTGGGTGACAGAGTGAGACTCCATCTCAAAACAAACAAGACTGTCCTAGTGTCAACTTTTCAGACTTCTGGGTTTTGTTGTTGTGTTGCTGAGTGCCTTGTTATTTACTCCTTGCCTTGTTCCCCAAAGGAATTGAAGCAGCTCACAAAACCCGGAAGCCTGAAAAGTTAAAAACTCAGAAGTTTGGCTGGATGTGGTGGCTCACGCCTGTAATCACAGCACTTTTGGAGGCTGAGGAGGGAGGATCGCTTAAGCCAGGAGTTCAAGACCAGCCTAGGCAACATAGTGAGATTCTGCCTCTACAAAGTAAAAATAAACAAATTAGCTAGATGTCATAGCATGCACCTGCAGTCCCAGCTATTTGAGAGGCTGAGGCAAGGAGGATCACTTGAACCCAGGGGGTTGAGGATGCAGTGAGCTATGATGACACCACTGCACTCCAACTTGGGTGACAGAGCAAGACCTTATCTCAAACAACAACAACAAAACCCAGAAGTCTGAAAAGTTACAATGTGAAAGAGGACATCAAATGAAAGGAAAAATCATGGTAGGAAAGAAAGATGAAGGCAGCAGTCCCCACTCACTGAGCTAGAAGACCTGGAACACTGGACAGAGGTGGTTCTGAGCTCCCTAGTGGCTGAGGAGAGGAGTGAAAGCAGATCCCGGTCCCTGATCCGGTTCATGAGAGGATGAAAGCACAGCCATTGTTCTGGAGACACTTTCTGGTTGTCATCATGGACAGGCTCCCTGGAGGATGTGCCTCCTCCCGCTTCAGGATTTAGCTCTTCTACCTCCCCTGGGCTGGGGTGGGTACATTGTCTGTGCTTTGACAGTCCCTAGATCTCATGTGTTCTAGAACCCTCTCTCCCAAAGCAGAACTTTTTTTTTTTTTTTCTGTTTTCTGTTTTTTAAATCCATTTCAGCCTCCTGACAAGCAATAAGATTTGGAATATTTGTTGAGGGGATGAATAAATGAACTCCTTAGTGCGGAGGTATCTGTGCATTGCGGCCATTTCTTGAGCATTGTCATTTGCAGGTCAGAGATGTGGGAGCCCCACACAGTGGGGAGGAGAGCAGAGGCGGAGGATGGGGGGTTGGGCTAACCTAGGCTTTCCAAGCTGTGATGGGGCAGGAGCTTCTCCACTAGCTCCAGGAAGGGGAACTTGGGCTCTGGGCGCCTGTTTTGAAGAGGTTGCACCCCTTTGAGGGGACCTACGGGTTGCAAGTCACGCAGGAAACGTGACCTTAGCAGTGAGGGTGGTGGAGTGGGCCAATTTCTGGATCTTTCTCTATTTAGTCACCTCCAGCCTTGTTGGGACAGGGATCTGGGGCTAAGCCGCTGTGGTCTCGGCACCCTCTGTCCCCACTTCCCCTCGAGGACGGCCATTTGAATATTGTCTAGTGTGGGCCATTTACCCCTGTGGGCAGGAGGAAGGTAGGAGGGACCTCAGAGGAGACTTCAAGGGCCCCCCCACTGCCCTTCTAACCTTGCAGATTCCCCTCTGGGGCCTGTTTCCTCTTCTCTCAACCAGCGATGCCAGGCTGAGGCTGTCGGTTCGAGAATCACGTAGGTAATAGCTTAGTAAAGGGCCTGGCACATAGTAGGCTCTCAAGAAAAGGTCGGAGCCTCTTGATGAGTCTGCCTGTGATGGATGCGGATCACAGACCCAGCGCAGTGCGGCGATTCGCCCAAGGTCACACAGCCGCCCCCCCGGACCCTGGGCGGCCTGACCCCGGGGCCGGGGCTTGTCGGGTGCCAGCGTGGGGGCGAGCAGTGTTTGGAAGAGCGGCCGCGGCCGTGGCCGTGGGTGGGAAGGGGCTTCTATTTTGGAGCGAGTGAGAGGAGCGGGACACGCGGAGGGGGTAAGGGAGGGGTGGGCTCTCTCCGGCATCTCTGTCCCCCAGTCACCTTCCTGCAACCCTTCCTGGGAGGGGCGTTCTGGGCGGTGGGGGAAGGTGGGAGGGGCGGGCGGTTACCTCATCGCCGCCTCCGGGAGGCCCCGCTCGCTCGCGCCGCCGGCTGGGGCGGCGACTCCAGGCGCGGAAGCGAGAGAAGGACAGAGACACAGAGGCTCCGGGAGGCACTGCTGCCCCCCGCGCCCCGCACCGCTGCGGGACCCGTGCCGCGAGGAGGGCGGACTTCGGGGCCCCGCGCGGCCGCCGGCGCCTGGGTTGGCGCTGCGGGGCGGAGGCAGTGTCTGAGCGCCGCTCCGGGTCTGCTCTCTCCCGAGCTTCGGCACCCGCCCGAGCCGCTCGCGAGTCCGCCACCTGTCTGCCCACTCCGTTGTTTGTCCGCCCTCCCGCCGCCAGCTCCGGCCTCGGGCCTGCCCTCTCCGGTCTCCGTGTTCCGGGGTCGACGAGAAGCGCGGCGGGGCCGGGGCGCACCGGGCAGGGCGCGCGGGGCGCACGGCCGGGGGGCGCACGGCGCGGCGCCGGCCCATGAGGCTTTCCAGAGCGGAGAGCGGCAGCGCCGGCCGGCCATGGGGGGCAGCCTGCGGGTGGCCGTTCTAGGCGCCCCGGGCGTGGGCAAGACGGCCATCATCCGCCAGTTCCTGTTCGGTGACTACCCCGAGCGCCACCGGCCCACGGACGGGCCGCGCCTCTACCGACCCGCGGTGCTGCTCGACGGCGCCGTCTACGACTTAAGCATCCGCGACGGCGACGTCGCTGGCCCCGGCTCGAGCCCTGGGGGTCCGGAGGTAGCGGCTCGAGGAGCGGGCAGGGGCGTGTGACAGCGTGAGAGGTGTGCGTGCTCGGTGCACACGTGCGTGTCCGCGTGGAGGCCTCGGGCGCCTGGCTGTGCTCCGGTATGGAGGGATGTGTGTGCTTCCTGGGATAGTTGAGTTTCAGCCCTTCCCGCCGACATGGAGACTCCCAAGCCCAGGCTGGAGGCAGGGCGATTTTGCCCAGGGGCGTTCCCTTGCTCCTGAGAGCGACTCCACCTTTGCCTGCCTCGGCTGGGGGGTGTGGAGCAGCTCGTGGTGGTGCATAGCGGTGCCTTTCCGCGAGTGTGGCGTTTTGTGTTTGGGGCCTTGAGCAGAGCTACAATGGGAGAGACTGGGGTCAGGAGTAGGGGTGTACTTACTATGGGGGCTGGTGGAGGGGTTCATTCTCTGCCCCCTCATTCCTGTGCCCTGGAGCGAAGGCTCGTTTAGTAATTTGTGCAAAGTAAAGGACAGACCTCCGACCCTACAGCAGTGAAGAAGAAAGAGCAGACAGGATTAAGCAGGGCTTCCTGGAGGGGGTGGCATTTGAGCTGAACCTGGAAGACCGAGTGAAGTTCTGAGTAAAGGGAGTGGCAAAAGCATAGCAGGTGGAAAGACCAGCAGGTGCTTACGCCAGGGGTATAAACGGTTACAGCTGACAACGTGGGGGCGTGGTGGACCACGGGGCTCCGGGCGGCCACGGGCTTTGGAATTAGTCTTAGAGGCAGTGGTAAGCACTGAAGGCATCTAGGGAGGAGAGTGGCCTGAGCCGAGTTGGGGAAAGCTGAAAAGAGGAAGATTCTGGGTAAACAGAGGGGAGACCAAGGATGTAGGAGGGTGGCTGACAGGCTCCAGGCACGATTTGGAAAATTTTACCCTGGTGGTCATGAGGAGACAGGGCCCGGGAAACTTGGGGGAGGGGCGCAGAGGGCTGGATGGAGGTGATGTTGGCCTGAGGATGAACTAGGTTTAGCGTCCAGGCCCCTGCAGAGGGTTCGAGAGCGGGAGAGTGGAAAGGAGGCTTCCGCAAACCCTGGCCTCCTGTCCCCAGGAGTGGCCAGACCCTAAGGACTGGAGCTTGCAGGACACGGACGCCTTCGTGCTCGTCTACGACATCTGCAGCCCGGACAGTTTCGACTACGTGAAGGCCCTGCGGCAGCGCATCGCGGAGACCAGGTGGGGGCGCGGCAGGTCTGGCGGTGGGGAGCTAGGGCAGGTCTGGCCCGGCCTTTGCCTGAGGGGAGTGTGTAGGGTCTCCCAACGTTGTGGGCCGGGTCTTAGGCCTTCGCCCGTGGGAAGGTCTTCAGCTGTATGTGCTCTTTTGCCCACATGGGCCTGGAGTTCGGGGAGGGCCTCTGGCTGTAGGAAGGGAATGCGCCTGCGTGTGTATACCCACTGGGGGAATTCTCCGGCCGTGGGGTCCCCGGCACCGCGTCTCTCATCTCCATTCGGCCCCCAGGCCGGCGGGCGCGCCCGAAGCGCCCATCCTGGTGGTAGGCAACAAGCGAGACAGGCAGCGGCTGCGCTTCGGACCGCGGCGCGCGCTGGCCGCCCTGGTGCGCAGGGGCTGGCGCTGCGGCTACCTCGAGTGCTCGGCCAAGTACAACTGGCACGTGCTGCGTCTCTTCCGCGAGCTGCTGCGCTGCGCTCTGGTGCGCGCGCGCCCTGCACACCCGGCCCTGCGCCTGCAGGGGGCGCTGCATCCAGCGCGCTGCAGCCTCATGTGACCCAATTGGACAGTGCCATCCATGGGCCCCACCTTGTGACTGGGACAACCCGGGACGTGGATTGGACAGGATCGCCCAACTTCACTGGGACTGGACAGGGCAATCTCTGCCCTGATTGGATGAGGCCTAAGCGACGGGCCTCTTTTTGAACCTCGTTGGACCCAACCGGGTCCCAAGCTCCATTGGAGATGACCAGTCCTTTCTGGGACCTCAGTGGGTCACAATCCCACTGGATGGAAAGGACTTGGCTATGAATTTGGAAACGCGAGGCCTGCTCCTGGAGCTTCACTGGACATATTCTTTATGCCACTCCTATCGCAGGATAATAAACGGGAAAATAATTGAGTGCACCTGGGATTTCTGGGCTGGGCGGGATAACGCTTTAAATCTAGAGGTCAGAGCTGCCAGGCTTGACCTCCAGGCAGTTAACTTCAGGGTCCTCGAAAAGGTCTGAACGGCCCCAACGCGGAGTCCCCAAGAAACAGACAGGTGGCTGGAGCAAAACTTTACTGTCAGAGGCTCTGCTGGGCCACAGGTCTTCAGGACACCGGGCTGGCCCGGCCTCCTCTAAGGCATTCAATAATATTAGTAATTAAATAGCAACGCTCATCCCCCAATCGGAATGTACAACAGAGGTCCCATTGTGCCATGTGGTCCCAAAGGGTCTGGTCCCATGAGGTCTGGTACTCAAGAGGCAGAGGGGGCTCCCTGATGCAGAGGGGTTAAGGCCACAAAGGAAAAGGAGAAGGGATGGGGTCTGGGGACAGTGAGCTGGTCCATCACATCCAAGAATCTGGCTCAGCCCTTGGGGTGACTGAGTGCAGGGCATGCCAGGTCCCAAGCTCTGCGGGTCCGGAGGGGCGGCGGGGGCCCCGAGGCGTGGGGATGCGTGAGGGTTTACGGTCTGGCTGTGTGTCCATCCGACCCCGTGCCCAGGTCCTCAAGGGTTCGGGGCCAGCCAGGGAGCTCCCAGGTGCATCTAGTGGCCCCCCCATGCCAGGGCAGGGGCTGCCTTCATCGGAAGAGCTGGAAAGGGCTTGGCTTCGCGGCCCAGGCAGGCCATTGGCCGTCCGGCCAGAGTCCCCAGGTTGGCCACATTTGCCACCCAGGACGCTGAGGGACGAAGAGGAGGAACTGGAGGAACAGTAGGCAGAGTCAGGAGCTGGAGGGTCAGGGGCCCGAGCTGGGTCAGGGGCTGGTCCAGTGGGGGTCACGCTAGCAACAGCCTCAAGAGCCCGGGCATTGGCCAGGAACTCCTCTTCCAGGCGCCGAAACAGCTGCTGCTCCTGCTGCGGGTCGAGCTGCAGGGGTGTGCGGAAGATGCTGGCCGGTGTGGTGCCCAACTCTGGACTGGGGCTGGAGACCCGTGAAAGCCGGGGTGCTGCAGGGCTGCGGGCACGGGGAGTCTGGGGGGTGCTCCTGCCCGAGCCCCCAGTGCCCCTGCCCCTTGGCACCCATGAGTGCTGCCCGTCTCGATCCCTGCGCACAAGCAGCACAGCCTGCTCCTCGCGGCTCTGGCTCCGGGCCCGCCGGGCAGGGCTGGGGGCTGACAACTGGGCTCCCCTGCCTCCTGGGGCCCCCCGGGGCCGGCCCCGATCCAGCCGGTCTCGGGACTGGCTGCGCAGGGCAGGAGGCCGTCTCGGAGAGGCCGGGGTGCCTGTGGTCAGCCGCCGGCTGGGTCGCTCCCTCCGGGGGCCAGTGCCTGTGTCATCACTGCGGGTACCAAGGGGGCCGCTCTGGGCGGAGGAGGCTGAGGAGTCACTGTCCCCGGAGTAGCGGCGGGAGCGGGGATGGGGGGGCAGCTGATCCCGGGGCCTGGGGCAGGGGGACAAGAGAGACAAATGGGGTACCACGGAAGGACTGGCATGCAGAACAGGCAGGGAGAGGAACAGCAGGGTATGTGGCTGGTGGACGGGGCTGTCAGGGGCATCGGTCTGTCCTGGGGACTTCCAGGGAGAAGTGAGCAGCTTCCTCCAGCCACCCAGGGCCCCAAAAGCCACGGAAGAAGAAGTTTCCTGGGCTCTAGACACCCCCCTTCCCAGAACGGGCCAGAGGAAGCAAGAGCTGGACTGGCTGCCGCCCAGCCACAGGGCCCGCCCCAGCTGTGTTGTTGGTTTGGTTGTGTTGCCATGGAGATGGGAAGCTAGGCCCGCCCCCACCCACGGGAACTTTTCCCAGGGTGTGAGTCACTCTGGCGCACAGGCAACCCGTCATGCAGGCCAGGGCTGACGCCCCCCAACCCTCTGGACCCTCACCCCTCGTCCTCCTGCATCTCACCTGGGCGGGGTCTCAGGCCCCTCCTTTGTGCTTCGTAAGCTAAGGGGAGTCATCTCAGGTCGGGAGCCCCGACGCTCACTCCCGGGAACTGGGCTAGCAGGGCGGGGACTGGGAGTGGGCGACAGCCTCTGCGGAGAAAAGGTACGGACCCTCGGCTGGGGTGGGCGATGAGCTGCAGGGAGAGAGGACAGGCAGCATGTGAGGGACGTAGCCACACAAGCGAGTCCCCTGCCCATCCACCCCCAGCCCCACCGCGGCACTGACCGGTGGAGGAGCAGCGGCACGGGTCGTGCTTGTCCAGGTAATGCTCCAGCGTGTCCCAGCCACCACCCACTCGCACCATCACGTGGCTCCTCAGCACCTGCAGGCGTGGGCAGGTCATGGCTGTGCCCCTGGCACCCGGCAGCCCACCACCTTGGCTGCTGCCCACTAGAGGGGCCCCTGGCCCTTACCCGCACAAAGATGAGCAGGCTCGAGTCCCCCACACGGTACTTCCCCTCCGAGACCTTGATCATGGGGAACTGGTCGGGGCAGGTGCAGCGGCCCAGGATCTCCCTCACCTGAGGCCAGAGAGAGGGTAGGGGTCAGAGGTCAAGTCCTCTTCCTGGGGCTTAATGTCAGCCATTCCAGGATCAGGGGGAAGTCAGGCCTTCCAGGGAAGTGGATGGAGGCAGTGTTACCCCAGATGGGGTACAGCTTCTACACATGACCAACCTTTTCTTTCTTTTTTTTTTTTTTTTTTTTGAGACAGAGTTTCACTCTTGTTGCCCAGGCTGGAGTGCAACGTTGTGATCTCTGCTCACTGCAACCTCTGCCTTCCAGGTTCCAGCAATTCCCCTGCCACAGCCTCCCGAGCGGCTGGGATTACAGGCATGTGCTACCACGCCTGGCTAATTTTGTATTTTTAGTAGAGATGGGGTTTCTCCATGTTGGCCAGGCTGGTCTCGAACTCCTGACCTCAGGTGATCCACCCACCTCGGCCTCCCAAAGTGCTGGATTACAGGCGTGAGCCACCACGCCCGGCCTTTTACCAGCTCCCCCTTTTTGGCTCTCTGGGCCCAGGGAGCTCCCAGGATGAGATGATGGGGCTGTGGTCACGCCATGGTCTGAGACCCGGTGAGGAACATCCCACAGCTCCTAGAGCTGGGGAAACCCCAGAGCCTGTCCTCACTCCCCCTTCACCCACTTCCCAGACAAGAAGGCTGGGGCCCACAGGAAGGCCAGGCGGGCTATAGGACACAGGCGCAAGGGGCCCCATGCCCCTGGGTGGGCACTGATGCGGAGGGGTACCACAGACACGTGGGACACACAGGCCACTGGCTGGGTGAGCACGCACCACATAAAGCGCTCCACCAGAGCCAGAGCTGCCAAGCTGGCTATGTGGACAGCCCTGCCCGCCTCCCTGCCCACAGCGGCAGTGGTGCCGCCAAAGGAAATAAGCAGGTGGAGCCTTGAGTGACCATAGCCCAGGACAGGGGGTGGGGCCCCAGGCTCTGCCCACTGCCATCCGCTATCCGCCTCCCAGGCAGGCACATTGTAGTCCTGACCTTCTGATAAGAAGGAAACTCTTGGTCCAGCCGTTGGGGGTGGCAGGGGCCACCCACATCCTGGGAGAGGAGAGAGTTGGGGGCAGGGCCCGGCACCTTCTATGCTTAGAATCCTGCAGCTCCAAACAGGATCCCCATCCCAGCAACAGCAGCAACCTGGCTAGGCTTCCCAAGGATGCCTGGGGAGTGGGGAGACCTGCAGAGCCCCCCAGGGTACCTACTGTGTGGCAGGCACCTTGCCCAGGGCTTTCCATGCCTCATCTCAACTGAGCATCACAGCACCCACTCAACCTCGAGCCTCCCTGAGGTTCTGGGCACATCTGCCTAAGACTAAGTGCAGGGAGGGCACCGAGGAGGCGCCCCAATCATGCAGTCCCCCAGAAGAAGGAATGCACAAGCTCAGTTGAGGCACAGTTAGCACACAAAGTGAGGGAGGATCGTGCCAGGAGCCCGCATCCTGTCCCAGGCCCGGCTGGGCTGTGTCATCTCCCCAGCACCTCCCTCACTGTGGGCTACCCATTTCCTTGGGGTCAGGTATACATTCCTTGATTTGGTGCTCAACATGTGCACTCTTTGTGGGGCAGGCTGTTCTGCAGATAGCAGGGTGGACCCTGGGAGGTTCAGGGACAGATCGCAGGCACTAGCTGGGCTGTCGGGTCCCTGGCGCCTGGTGCTGGGGGACTCACCAGCTCGTCGAGGTTGCGCAGGTCGCTGGGTGTCATGCGGGGGGCACGGGCAGGAGTCCCTGGTGCAGGGGTGGTTTCAGTGGTGTCCTCCCCAGCAGCAGGGGCGTTGGGGGCTGGGGGTGCAGCACGCAGTTCCCGCTCAATCTCCTGCTCGAACTGCACGAGGCGTGGGGCGAGCAGGCCCAGGCGGGCCCCACGCCGTGCCACCTCCAGCAGGCATAGCACCACGCTCTTCTCGTTCTTGCGAAGCACCAGGTCCTCAGTCTCAAACATGAGCACCTCCGGCACACCCAGCTCCGTGCGGCACCAGCCGATGAAGGTGGCCACGTTGTCGCGGGCCATGAAGGAGCCAGGCACTACACTGTGTGCCTGGAAGGCCACACCTCGGGCCGGTCGGGCAGCTGCCAATGCACGGGCAGCCTCGGTCACGGCGTTGGCATGTTGGCACAGGGTCGTGCCCGTGGCCAGCCCCGTCAGGAAGCCATCACCACCACCCGGGAGACCCAGGCCGTACAAGGCATTGAGCCACTCGGCCAGGTCCTCCTTCATGGCCTCCACGTAGGCCTCACTGGAGCGAAATGGCCGCACGCTCTTGGCCGCCGAGCCCGCGATGCCCGCCACCGGGTCCGCCATGCCCGGACCGGCCGAGTCACTGTAGGCAGGAACACAGGTCAGGATCGCTGTGGGGACCCAGTAAGGGCTCAGTACAAACTAAGCTGCTGGCCACCTGCACCAGTCTGTCACTCAGGGCAAATGCCTGGTTTACATGTTGGCTCTGGGAAATGTCGGTGCTCCAAGTTTCCTCATCTGCGAAATGGGTACAGTAACATTCCCT